ATTTCTAAGCCCCCAGGCCCGGGACGCAAACCACGGTCAACTACGTGGGAGTCCAGCGACACAGCCATTAATCTAACTGCTGGTTCCCAAAACAGGTGGATTCTCATATTCCAACCTAGATCTACTGAAATCAGAAACTACTGTGGCTCTCAAACTTTTAAAGGCGTCAAAAGTATTGGAGAGCTTATTAAAATCCAGATTACAGGGTGGGCCAGAGTGGTTGTGAAGGTGAGTGGATCTCATATGGCTGTGTGTTCAAGCCCCAGACCCAGCAGCTTGAGAAACACAATGAGCATGTGTGCTCAAAATCCTGAAGGGAAAGTGAAAACGAGGAGAAGGGACTGCGACATGACCATGCCCCACAGAGGAGTACTTTCTCATTTTTCCATTCTTTCTCTCCAGCGAGCACATATGTCCTTGGCAAAAATTTAAAAACAAACAAACAAACAAACAACTCTAGACAATTGGGTTCACTCACAGAGTTTCTGATTCTGCAGATATAAAATGGGGCCCTATAATTTGCATTTTGACAAATTCCCATGTCATGTTGATATTGCTGTTCCAAACCACATAGCAAAGGGGAATACTCACTTCTAACTCTGTTAAAATACTTCAGATCATTTCCTGGGAAAAGGAAGTAGAAATTCAGCTAAGCACTTTCAAGATGCCCTCAATATTTCCAATGGAGGAAGCAAAAATATCACAGAGGGGAGATTCTGAATTATGGGGGAAGACATCCTTACCAAGCCATACCAAATTCCTGTAGTTCTCCAACATGACATCTCTGTATAGATCCTTCTGAGATGGGTCCAGCCATTCCCACTCCTCTTGGGAAAAGTCTAGAGCTACATCTCTGAAAGTCACCAATCCCTAAAATTAAAAAACAAACAAACAAAAAACATTCTTGTTGATCAGATGTCCAGACCACTAAATGGTCCAAGCAAATAAGATGAATTCTATCATAGTTCAAAGCTCCAAGGGATCCAAGGAAAATAATTATTGGAAAAAAATTTCATGGCCAAGTTTGCTATATACTTTGAGAGAAAAATAAATATTGGAAACATACACACCTCTTGAAAATCTCAACCACAATCCCTTCTCCTCCATTCTCCTCTTGGGATTTTGGGCATGACGCACACAGCTGAGATTTAAGCCTCTGGGTCTGAGACTCAAATTGCAGTCAGCTATGTGGGAGTCCACTGACCTAACCATTATTCCATCTTCTGGTCCCTCAATTTTTTTTTAAAGGTATGGAAGAAATTTTATTTAAGTTTGAGAGATTTTACGTTCAAAAAACAAATATATATATATATATTGGCACAGAAAGGCCCTGTTAAAATTTTGCAAATTGTAGGGAACCAGTAGGTGGTGTGGTGGCTAAGGCACTGGACATTCCCAAGTGGCCAACCATGTTCAAGTCCCAGACCTAGTGGTTTGCTTTCTCACTTTCTCTCTCTGGTCAAATTAAGATAAATAAATAAATAAATAAATAAATTCTTTTTAAAAGTTTTACAAATTGCTTAAAAAGATAAATATTTAGATTGATTTATGAGGGTCTCAGACATTAAGTATGAGAAAGTTAATGGCTATCAGGATTTGCATAGATGATCATAATCAAAATGTGATTTGTTAAAATAAACCAACTATGTGATTTGCTAAAATAAACCAAATAAATGGCTTGATAAAATAAACCAAAAAATAAAATTTAATACTCCCGGGAACAAGCAGTTAGCATAATGGCTATGTCGCTGGACTCCCATGTAGTCGACCGCGGTTCACATCCCAGACCCGGTGGCTTAAAACTCACGCCAGGCACGTGTGCATGCGTGCCCAAGATCCCGAGAGGAGAATGGAGGAGAAGGGATTGTGGCATGACCATCCCCCCGGGGGGTGATTTTTCACTTTCTGTCTCTATGTCTCTCTGTCTGGCAAGTGCAGACACCCTATAGCAAAAACCTCTCCCCCCCCCATAAAAAAGAACTTTTCATCCAAAAACCACGAGATACCCTTTTTTTCTCACCCCCACATGGAATCTTTTCAAAGATTGACCACATCATAGGGCACAAAGCAAGCCTCTACATATTCAAAGGCATAGAAACTATTCCCAGCATCTTCTCTGACCATGATGGAATCAAACTTGAGTTTAATTTCAAGAGAAAACCTCAAAAATACTCATATACATGGAAACTAAATAACTTACTACTGAATGACTCCACAACTACTGATGAAATAAAGTCTGAAATCAAAAGATTCATGGAAGCTAATGACAATGAGGACACGAGTTTCCATAATCTTTGGGACACAGTAAAAGCAGTCGTAAGAGGGAAGTTTATAGCAATTAGTGCTCATAAGGGGAAGACGGAAAGAAGGCAAATGGATCGCTTAACATTACGCCTCAGAGAATTGGAGAAGCAACAGCAAAATGATCCAAAAAAACTCCAGGAGAAAGGAAATAATAAAGATCTGAGCAGAAATAAATGAAATAGAAAATAAGCGAACTATACAGAAAATAAGTGAAAGTAAAAGCTGGTTCTTTAAAAAGATAAACAAAATAGATACATCGCTAGCTAGACTAATTAACAAAAAGAGAGTGGACAAGCAGATGGCATAACAGTTATGTCACTGGACAAGGGATTACAGTGTGGCCATCCACCCTAGGGGGTGATATCTTGCTTTCTGTCTCTCTGTTTCTCTCTGTCTTTCCAGCGAGCATATGTGCCCTATGTATAAAATTAATTAATTAATTAATTAATTAATTAATTAAAAAACCTCTCCAAAAAAGAAAAAGAAAATGAAGAAGAGAGAAAGAAACCAGGTAAAGCAAATTTGCAATGAAGTAGGCAATATAACAGACCTAATAGAAATACAAAACATCATAAGAGGATACTATGAACAACTATATGCCATCAAATAAGAAAATCTGGATGAGATTAATAAATTCCTGGACACATATTATCCACCAAGATTGAGCCAGGAGGATGTAGAAAATCTGAATAGGTACATAAAAAGCCAGCAGATTCAATCAGTAATAAATAATCTCTCAACAAAGAAAAATTCTGCCCCTGATGGCTTCACCTCTGAATTATAAAAAACTTTTAAAGAAGAGCTACCCCCCATTCTGTTCAAGTTATTTCTAAAGACCCAAAAGGGTGAAACTCTCCCTAATTCATTCTATGAAGTCTCCATCACCCTTATCCTCAAAACAGACAAGGACAAGGAAGGAAAACTATAGGCCAATATCTCTGATGAATATTGACACAAAAATTCTCAACAAGATATTAGCATATCATATCCACATACATCATGACCCAGATAGGTGTTATTCCAGAGCAGCAAGGTTGGTTGAACATACATAAAACCATAAGCGTAATACACCATATTAACAGAAAGAAAGGTAAAAACCATATGATCATATCAATTGATGCAG